AACTATGCTCGGGAACATCCAGGTGTGGTTGCACTCGAACTGGTTGTGACCACGCCATTGACTATGTCCGAATCAAGCCTGACCACACCCATGAATAACTGGGCATGTCTATGCCTAAACCACACAAGACCAAACTAGTCCAAAGGTAGGGTGGTGTACGTTGAGTTGAACGTAAGATGGTTGACAAAAATGAAAGTCAACAGCTTTGTCTAGGTGTGGTTTTACTGATTGTCGAATGGTTTGTTTCACATCAGTATTTTTAGCATATGTATATCATTTTTTTAGTTGCATTTACAAAATTTAAACTATGCATAAGACTAATTTTGCATGATCTTGGTCGATCAGCCACTATTGGTCAGCTCGATTGGTCGATCAACCACATTTGTTCAGTTGGACTTACTGGTTGGCCACCTTGGGCCAGTCGACAATTTTAGATCAATTGGACAGGTTGCATTTATTCAATTAGATGCAACTTTATTTAGTGTTACCTAAAGAAATCATCTATGAAGCTCATGGTGGAGTAGTCGATGGCTAATACAATGAGTACATTGATTCATTGTGGGGGGTAGCTATCCATTTAAAAAGCTGAGTTGAGATTAGTGAAATGCATACATTTAGTATTTTTCATCCAAACTTTGAAATCATCGCCATGCTGGTTACTTACTCTATGTGTTGCACCTTCATGATGCATTTAGCATCATGTATCTTACGCATTTCTATCAAAATTGGTACTGACATTGTGAGCGTTGTTGATTACATCTCTTACTTCATAGTTCGAGCCATTGAATCAATGTTTAACCTATGGCAAGCTTCAGTGATTAAAACTTCCAAAATCTCCTCAACAAACAAAGTGAATACAACACAATATTTGCATAGATTGTCATCTAGTTCACCCATGTACCCTATATTAAAGGTGCAAATAATCAAAATACTTTATCAATATTTTCCTGCATAATGGTGATCCACTTAATTGTCTTACCGGTTTCCAGACCACTCCCTCACTAGATATCAATCACCAATGCTTCTTAGTGTACATTGCATATGACCCGCGTGTTGCAAGTGCGTGATTTCTCCAAGTTGCCTTGGATAGTGATAACATCTTCTTTGTATGGGAACTTCCAGTTTATGTTGTAGGTGAGAATAATAGCCTTGAATGTGTTTATGAGAGGAGTTTGAAAAAATATTAATTGAGCTCCCTATGTTGATGTGAATGTTGTTGATTTAGTAGTCAGTGATCAGGGTCACAACCAATGTTGTGTCATTGTAGGGGTTCCCTTTGCTTGGTAGGTTATTTTTTATGAAAAAAATTGGTGGTCGATGCATGATTTGCTATTAAAATGATATTTTCACGCACTTTTCATCTGAGAAAAGTTTTTTTTAGCCTAGCTTGATGAGATGCTTTAACAACATCTCCAATAAGTATCATTAGGAAAATACCTATAATGTGAATCACTTAGGTGGGAGCATGTTCATTGATTTTTTAGATGGGCTTTTCCCTATGTTTGAGTTATTGCTCATCTTTCCATAAACACCTACAATTTATTCGACTTGATTATCTCCTCACATAAGCTTCAAAGGTAGTTACACTCCTTATAATGTACAAGATTCTAGTGGTAAGCACATTATATTTTTGGGTCATGTATGTACCCTCCTGCCTTTATTGTCATAGTCTTTTATATATACTCATTATTTTGATTGACTTCTATTATTCAATAAATGAGAGCCTCAAGGGAGACTATCATAGTATCAAGTGAGCAGGGGTAGAGACCTCCTCCATAAGTGCTAACCTACTTGCTTGTCTTTGTACCGGGCTTGTCCTATATCAAGAGAATTCCACTTTCCTGTAAATGAACTTGCTATTAAAAGAAGCAGGTTCATTGCTCTTCAAACCTCAATTCATAATTGCTCACATCGGGCTTATGAAAGTTCCTTTTTGGTGGGTGTATTCTCTTGTGTTTTGCTTGTGCAAAGACAATTGATAAGCTATAAATCTTCTAGTGATATGCAATTGTTACCAGTTTCAATAACTTAGCTAATTTTTTGGGTGCTATAAGCCAAGTGCATAAAAGAATTGGCCTTCTTTCAACCCTTAAGCCATGACTACTTTGAGTTCTAAGTGCTTTAGTTCTAGCATTTCTCTCTAAAACCAAGTTACGAAAGCTCTCAAGATCTTTATAGGCTCCTTGCACAGTTAAAGCAATGTCTGTAAATTCTTCTGTGGCTTTTGAGCACTAATGAATTGTGCTATAAATATCTGCTTGAAATCTGTAAAAGAAGTTATTAATTCTAATGGTATATTATTGAACTATAAAGGGAAGACTCTTTCATGGTCATAAGGAATACCCAAAATTTCAATGCATTATTTACCCTTAACAATCACACAATGGATTTGAAAGAGGAGAGATAGTCAGAGTGGTTTGGTTGCCCTCCATAGATGGGATTTCAAGCGTTAGAGGACTTCTTCTTTAGATATCTCTTTAGGGAAAGCATTCTCCAACTAGTACAAATATGGGATTTATGTCCTACTGCAATAAATTCGGGCCAAACTTATGTTATTTGAGTATTATTAATCATCCACATCTACTGACTTCAGTAAGGAAGTTTTTCTAACAATAAAGGCAAGTTTGACCAATCAACATGGTAGAGCTACTAGTTGGGGTGATGGTGTCGTTGTTTGGGCGAATGTTTCTTGGACCATCACCATCATTTACTTCTTGAGCTCATTAACTTTTTGGGCAACAAATTCCCAAGTGTAATCCATGTTGCTAGCAATTTCTCTATTGCTCAACTCTTGTTTTTTAAAGACACCTCTTCTTATTTATGGTATAATCCATGCTCGTCGCATCGCATCTTTTCAAGATATTGAATTCCATTTTACTTGTGATCATAATTAAGAAATCGAGCTTAAGTAAGGCAAGTAAAGGAGAGAAGAAACTTATCATGGAAGTAAGTAGGATTCCACCGAATAAGGATTAGAGGTTAGTTTACATTTATTATTCCCCCTTTTATAGGGATATTTTATCTACAAAAGAAAATATTGGCTATTATTACAGCTAAGCTTTTAGTTACATATAACATAATCCACAAACTTTATTCGAGGAGAAATTTTTATGCATACTTGATACTCACTTTAACATGAGGTGTTTAAAAATATGTGGCTAGAATCGTTATGTCACAAACAAAAATACTACGAGGGTCAAAATAGTCAATTACTTAGAAACAGCTGTCGCACGACTGTTTTTAAACCGGAGTAAAGAAACAGTCAGTTAGTTTCTCAGCAGCAACTTCCCCGCAGCAGCTTCCTGGGGTAGCTGCCCTAAACCGACCCATATGTTTTAATTGAATGCATTATTAGTTAATTAGAAAAAAAATAAAGTTAAATCAGAATTTGCAAACTTTTCTTTTTAAGAAAACTGGATTACAATATTTTTAGTGGACTAACGGGAACTGAAAAAGCTACCTGGAATTCATTTTAAAATATATAATTATATCTTTATTTTAATATCTATATCTTAGTGGTGTTTTTGAGAATATTTTTTAATTTTAATGTTTTTATGATTTGATGACAAAATGATATTCAAATTTAAAATTTATAAAATATCACTTATAAAAAATTTTCTTTAGAATAGTAGTTAAATTATTCAAATCAAATTTCTTAAATTAAAATATTATTTATTGAATT